ATGATGACGATGATGTCAGGATGAGGTGTGAAACTGACTCATGAATGACTCACTCTGACATCACACACACACACACACACACACACACACACACACACACACACTATGCTTCACATTTTGACCATTCATTCATTCATTCATTCATTCATTTTCTTTCCAGTTTAATCCCTTTATTAATAGCGGAATGAACCGCCAACTATTCCAGCATATGTTTTACACAGCAGATGCCCTTCCAACTGCATCCCAGTACTGGGAAACACCCATGCACACACACACACACACACGGGTGAGTGTGAATGAGTGTGTGTGTTTGTGGGAATGTGTGCAAGTGAATGTGAGTTTGTGTGTCAGAGTTTGAGAACATGTGTCTGAGTGTGTCTCTCTCACACACACACACGCACACGCACACGCACACACACACACGCAGCAGCAGGGCATTGAGGAATAAATCATCTTCCTGTATGCAGAGTGACTTCATTCCTGCAGTGCATTTGCAGATTGACTCAGTGGAGGAGTGTTGGAGATGAAATGGCCTACACACACACACACACACACACACACACACACACACACACACACACACACACACACACACACACACACACACACACACACACACACACACACACACACACACACACACACACGCACACACACACACACACTTGTCAGTGGTCTGGCCTGAGTTCAGCTCGTCTGGCCTTTATGATGTGACTGCTCTTCATCGGTGTGTTCTCATGCTTCTTGTGTTTCGTCTTGTTCACCTTATTTTGATTTCTGCTTGCTCTCCTTCATTAGACTCATGTGAGTATTAAATTAAAAGGCTCTCGGTGGACAGACACACGGCTGGCTGCTGATGGACAAGGTAAATATTAAGATTAATATCCCTGACTATAATCCGCTCAGGCGCTAGATCTTGATGGCGGACGATTACTTCATTTCAGGTTTTCTCACTTGAACATCAACTACAGCAGATCTGCCGATACTGATTATTACTCCAACAGCAAAACACAAATCCAGGACTTTAATCCAGGACTTAACTCAAGAACAGAACTCTCGTGTGCCTTCAGCCGCTGCATTAGAAGCTCCTCAGTCAGTTTACAGCTGCTGTGGTCACTCTGCACTTTCTTTTGTCATGTGGATGAATATTCGTGTTTTTGGGCCACACTTAAAGGAACCCAGTTTGCACACCCTGTTTGAGTCCACTGCTTTGCTTTAATATTCACATTTCATTTTTTTATTGATACTCGAGTCAAAGACAGTCTGATCAGAGAAAACTAAAAGACTATCATCAATTTAATTAGAGATCACAGCCTGATAATACACGAATGAGCTGAGCAAATGTGACCATGTTCAAGTTTTGTTCAGGATATGTTCATGATATGTTCAGGTTGTGTCCAGGTTATGTTCAGGTTATGTTCAGGAATCAGGATATGTTCAGGTTGTGTTCAGGTTATGCTGCTCAGGTTATGTTCAGGATATGGTCAGGTTATGTTCTAGATATGTCCAGGTTGTGTTCAGGTTATGCTGCTTAGGTTATGTTCAGGATATGGTCAGGTTATGTTCTAGATATGTCCAGGTTGTGTACGGGATATGTTTAGGTTGTGTTGAGGATATGTTCATGCTGTGTTCAGGATATGTTCAGGTTGTGTTCAGGGTCTGCTGCTCAGGTTATGTTCAGGATATGGTCAGGTTATGTTCTAGATATGTCCTGGTTGTGTTCAGGTTATGCTGCTCAGGTTATGTTCATGATATGGTCAGGTTATGTTCTAGATATGTCCAGGTTGTGTTCAGGTTATGCTGCTCAGGTTATGTTCAGGGTATGGTCAGGTTATGTTCTAGATATGTCCAGGTTGTGTTCAGGTTATACTGCTCAGGTTATGTTCAGGATATGGTCAGGTTTTGTTTTAGATATGTCCAGGTTGTGTTTGAGATATGTTTAGGTTGTGTTGAGGATATGTTCATGTTGTGTTCTAGATATGTCCAGGTTGTGTTCAGGTTATACTGCTCAGGTTATGTTCAGGATATAGTCAGGTTATGTTCTAGATATGTCCAGGTTGTGTTTGAGATATGTTTAGGTTGTGTTGAGGATATGTTCATGTTGTGTTCAGGATATGTTCAGGTTGTGTTCAGGTTATGCTGCTCAGGTTATGTTCAGGATATGGTCAGGTTATGTTCTAGATATGTCCAGGTCGTGTTCAGGTTGTATTCAAGTTATGTTCAGGATATGCTGAAGTTATGTTGAGGCTGTGTTTAAGTTATGTTTAGATTATGTCCTGTTTTAGGGTTCATAAACGAAGATTCCACCAATCAACCGAATAATTTAAATATGTTTTGGATATGTTCAGGTTATTCAATTCAGCTTTATTTGTATAGCGCTTTTACAATGTAGATTGTGTCAAAGCAGCTTCACATAAATGGTCATAGTAACTGGAACAGTGTGGTTCAGTTTTTAGTGTTTAAGTTCAGTTCAGTTCAGTTCAGTTTAGTTCAGTTCAGTGTAATTTAATCATTACTGAGAGTTCAAACACTGGAGAGCAAATTCATAGATGCGTAGCTCTACCGATCCTGAACTATGCAAGCCAGTGGCGACAGCGGAGAGGGAAAAAAACTTCACCTATAGGAGAGTGAAGAAAAAAAAACTTGAGAGAACCAGACTCAGTTGGGCAGGACCATTTTAATGGCCATTTTTATGTTCAGCTTATGTTTAAGATATGTCCAGGTTGTGTTCAAGTTATGTTTAGGTTGTGTCCTGTTTTAGAGATCACAAACCGAGAATCCCCCAATCAAGCGAGGAATGTAAATATGTTCTGAATATGTTCAAGCTTTGTTTGGGTTTATGTTCTTGTTATTTTTAGGTTCTTTTAATTATTCGGTTATATGTTTACATTTGTCAAACAGAGATTCCGCCAATCAACTTAGCAATGTGAGTATGTTCAGGATTTGTTTTTGGTGTGTACAGGACATGTTTAAGTTATGTTCAGGCTATGTTCATGTAATGTGCTATCTTGTAATCAGGATATGTTTAGGTTATGTCCTGGTAAGATATCACAAATTGAGATTCCACCATTCACTGAGCAATGTGAATATGTTTGGCACATGTTCAAATTATGATCAAGTTATCTTCAGGTTATGTTCAGGTTGTTTCCTGGTTTAGATTTTACAAACCAAGATTCCACCAATCAACCATGGAATGTAAATATGTTCTGGGTTTTTTAAAGTTATATCTGGGTTTGTTCATGTTATTTTATATATTAGATTGTATGGTTAGAATATTTTCAGGTTATATTCCGATTTAGATATGTCAACTCGAGATTCCACCATTTAATTGAGAAATGTGAAAATGTTCAGGTCAAGTTCATCTTATGTTCAGGTTACCATTAGGATATGTTCAGGTTATGTTCTAGATTAAATATCACACACCAAGATTCCATCAATTAACTTAACAATGTGAAAATGTTCAGGATGTGTTCAAATTATGTTCAGGATATGTTTATGTTATGTTTAGATTATGTTTAGAATATGTTCAGGTTATGTTCTGGTTTCAATATAAAGCTGAGATTCCATCTATCAACTGAGCAATTTGACTATGTTCAGGTTATGTTCAGGATATGTTTATGCTATGTTTAGGTTATTTTCAGGATATGGTCATGTTATGTTCTGGTTTAAATATCTCAAACCAAGATTCCATCAGTCATCTGTAAGCAAAGATATTATGTTTAGGATATGATCAGGTTATGTTCTAGTTATGTTGTGGTTTAGAAATCATAAACCAAGAGTGAACTAAGCAATGTGAATATGTTCAGGATAGCTTCAAGTTATG